AAACCTTGTTCATGAGATACCGTTAACCTTGTTCATGAGATCCTCAAATTGAGCTTGGAAATCAGCAACTGAACCCGTTTGTGATAGTTTGGAAAGCTCACCTCCAACATCTTCATACGCCGTCGGACCGAAGCGGTGGCGAACGGATGTGAGAAACGCTTGCCACGAGGTGAACAAGTTGTTGCGCGTAGCCCACTGAAACCAAGCAGCTGCACGACCTTCCAAATGAAATGAAACGATTTGGAGACGCGAAGCTTCCGGTGTGTCGTGGAAATTGAAAATGCTTCAATCTTAAAAAGCCAATCGGAAGCATTCGAACCATCAAATCTGGGAACAGATAACTTGATCGAATGTGAGATAGAGCTAGTAACGGATGACGGTGATGCAGTACGGAGATGCGCAACCTTAGAATCTACTTCCAGAAGGTGTTGATGAAGTGTGTTGTGAATGGAATCTGAGTTTGTGTCAAGGGAGGATTGGAGAAGAGCACTAAGGGATGAGGATTGGGCATCGAGTTTGGATTGAAGGGCGTTCATAATGGCGTCGTGAGACATTTTTCAATGAAAGCACCAATGATACACCTACTGCACTTAGGTGGTCGAAATCGGCACTCTTCGAGCGAGTGTTAGCTCCACAAGAGAAGAAGAAAGAAACTAATGAAGGGGAGAAATCTTCTTAACATTCATCATAACCAAATGGTTCTCAAGTACAGCTATAAAAAGGAGAGTGGGTGTTAACAAACTCTAACAACCCAACACGATTTCAGGAAAAGACAAAAGCATAACAGAAATGAAATTAAAAGGAATAATACTATTCTAGATCCTTCAGTCGCACACGTAATCCTCCATCCATGATGGCTTTTTGGGCTGTCTCTTTCCCAATTCCTGGACTATCTCATCATCTGACTCATCTTCATTGGGCCTTGGGACACTGTTTTGGGTTGGGCTTGTGGGGGGTGTATCATGGTGGCCCAACAAGATTTGAAACATTGATATGCCCCCTTCTAAATCATTTTCTTTTTGGAGGCTCTATCGTAATAAACTTACAACTGATGAGAGTTTGAGAAAAAAAGCTTCTTAGGTCGTTCCCTGTGCAATTTTTGTAGAATGCATGAAGAGATTTTCTCTCATCTCTTTTTTAGTTGCTCATTTGTGTATCATCAGTGCCACTGGTTTCTTGTTTTGATCAAAGTATCCATGCCTCTTGACATTTTTGAAGCGCTCAATCTTTGTGATAGAAGTTTGAGTAACCAATGTGAAGTTATCATTCAAGCTGCCATTACCTCCATCATTAATACTATATGACTAGCTCAAAATAATAATTATTTAAACAACTCCAATATGCTTTGAAAAGCTGCTATCAATTTAATCCATTACGAAGTCTCTTTAATTGGAAATAACACGGTGAAACTGCTATCAACAAATGTTTCAAGGTCTCGATTAATCTATCTAGAGCGCCTGAAATTGTCGAGGTCATTTAGTATTCGCCTGTGTCAGGGTGGATCAAATGCAACATCGATGGTTAGTTTGTTAATTCCTCAACATCGTGTGGTGGCCTCTTTTGTAATGAGTCTTGAGAATTTTTTTTGGCTTATCTGATTTAGTGGAAGGCTCTTCTGCTTTCCATGCCGAGCTTTCTAGTTTCATCATTGGTATAAATTTGGCAATTAGGACCTGTTTTAATAAAGTTTGGTTGGAAACAAATTCGAAGTTGGTTATTCTTGCGTCCCAAGATCCCAACATTGTGCCTTAGACCTTAAAAGTTAGGTGGTTGAATGCTCCAGCTTTTGTTAGGCAAATGGAGTTTCGAATTTTCCATATTTTCAAGGAGGGGAATCGGTGCGCCGACTTGTTGGACTTGAAGGCTGGTCCTATTAAGCCTTATGTCACGTGGAAAAAACTATCTACTTGTTGTACCATAATAAATTTGATTTACCTAAATTTAAATTTATTGGTATTTAAGTGGATTTTGTCCTAGTAACCCGCTTTATTTTCTTCATTTTAATAGATTTTTACCTTTATAAAAAAAACTATCCATTTTTATTTAACTTTTTTATATTTTTTTTTTACAAACAATTGACAAAAATACTTATTAAGATATCATAGTTTAAAAATGTGATCACTTGTTGTTCTAGTACGTGTTATTTGACCATTTTTCTTTATAGTGTTTAAAGTGGTTTTTTTTTTTTATAACTTAAGCTTTAGCCCATAGAAAAATATATTAAAAAGAGAAGTATGTATAAAAATGAAGGAGACATAAAAGTTGAAATCTCAAATTTATCTGATTTTAAAGTTAGACAATTTTATTTAAAGTGAGTATAAATTAGTGTACAAAATTTAAGTTTTTAAATAATATTTTATTTTAAAATTTTATTTAAGGTTTTGTTTTGTAAAAAATTTAAAGCTAATTTCTATTTATTTAATAGTATAAAACTTTGTTCTTTATTTAAAAAATAAATAAATTTTGATAAAGTTATTTGAATTAACTCTTCATTTCAAAATTAAAAATAAAATTTAAAATTTGCAAACAAACACTATTAAAATAATAAAAATGATTTTCTTTTATAAAACTTTATAGTAAATAATTGATAAAAAAGAAATTATTCAACAAACTTTACAATATTAGACACGCAACTTTTGTACGTACTTGGAAAGAAAAAGCATAGTAATCAGAAAAAAATTCTGGCAGAATTAATTTCCAAATAATTAATATTTAAAATTATTTACTTAAAATTTAATAACAAATTCTATTTTTTTATTTTAATAAATTAAAACTTTAATTCGTTTTTTTTTGAACAGTCAATGTTTTATTTAATATATCATTTACAGTTGATTTGTAACGTTTCATAAAGATTCATTTAAAATGAAACATGACTTTCCCAAATGAACAGTATTCCAATTGTTACCATCATTTATTCAGTAAAATAGTTGTATGTCACATGAGTAATTTTATTTGATAGATATAAAATATATGTAAATATACATGAATGAAAAGAATCAGTCAATTGTATTAAATAATCTTGCATAAACTAAAAAAAGAATTAGTAAGGTTGAGAAAAAAAATGAAAATTTTGACATTTCAAAAAAATGATTTTGACATTAAAATAAATTATAATTGTTGATTAAAAAACAGATATCATAATAAAAACATTTTATAATTATATTTAATTGCTAATTCTTCCTTTGTATTATTGGTCGACTATCTCATTAAAAAGATTGAAAGAATATAAATTAAAAAAACAACTAAAAACGGAAGGATATAATATATTAACAATTTTTTATATATATTTTTATTAAATCAATAAAATAATAATTGATTAAAATAAAATATATATTATATTGATAATAATTTGCAAAATCAATATTTTTATTATTGTAGTTGTGCTATTATGCTTTTATTACATAATTTACGCTCGATAAAAGAGGCAACGAAAGGAACAAACCATATGTTTAAATTGAGTTTTTTTTGTCTTTGGTTTTTATCATTTTTTATAATATTATTGTATGAATTGAGATGAAATAAAACACATATTTACTTTTTAAATTGTGAGACATAGTTAATTATAGAATTTTCTTTTTATTTTTAATTTAAATTTAAATTGTAGACCTCTATTTTTATAAACAATATTAATATTCTTTTACACATTTGATTTATAACGTTTCATAAAAATTCATCTAAAGATGAAATTTGACTTTCACAAATAACACACTATTTATCATTTATTTTTACGGTAGATATGCGTGAGAAGATTAAAATAGTTCAAATATAATAAATGCTAATTTTATAAATAAAGTAAAATTGATGAATTAAAATTAAAAATATATTTATTTTTATTTCAAACAAATGATTCTTTAATAAAATATTTATTTAAAATTACATGATTATTTTCAATTTAAATTACAATAATAAATTTATTTTTTAAATATATCACTTAAATTATATCATTTTTATAACTTTCAATTCTATATTTTCTGTTTTTTGCTTTATCAATAATGAAAATGATATTTCAACGAAGAAGTAGTCACTCTTAATAAAGAATAATTTTTTCTATACTTATTAATAATAAATATTTCTTATTTATATAGAATTTGTTTATTTTAACATTAAAAAAATAATTTTTATCTATATTTTCAAAAGTAATTTTTAAAAAATTTATTACAATGTTTATTTTCTTTTATAAAATTAAAAAATTAATTATAATATGAATTTATATTATTAAACATTAAAAAGATATTAGAAATTTCAACTTTAAAAAAAAAATCTCAAAAATAATTTGAATTTTTTTTTTAAAATTTAAGTGAATTATTAAATTTTTGATATCTAAAAAAATATATTAAATGATAAAATATCTAAGATAATATTTTAAAAATAAATGTTCAAATTAATTCTTATTTAACATTATATTTTTTTAAAAATTATTTATAACTATTTTAAACAAAAATATATAATTTATAAAAATTTATTTTAAAAATCATTATTCAATAAATTTAATTTTTTTATTTACATTATAGCCTAGAAGGAAGTAATATTTAATAATACAATTGACTTAAAATATTTAAAGTTTTAAGATATTTTATATTTCTAATAAAATACTAATATTAATTTTCCTATTTATATTCTCTTCAAAGTTTTATAATTATTTACTTAATTTGTATATTTTTTGAAAATAGATGTGAAGCGGTAAAAACTTGTATAATTTGAAAAAGGAGGAATACATATATGGGAAATGATAGATGCGTATTGAATAAAACTTGATACTAAAATTCAAAATAAGTTTGAGAAAAAACGAGACATCCGTGAATAAAGTTTGTTTTATTATATAGTGTGATATGCACGCGCCTGTCACTATCTTTCCTTACGAAATTAATTTAGACAAACCCTATCTTACTTTCCAACCATTATATATACCCTTCATCCTTTCTCTTTCCTCCCACCCAAACACTTCTCTTTTTCTCTCTCTAAAACTATCTTTTCTATTTTCTACTCATTTTCTCTCTCCAATGGAGAATTCCACCGACAAGAGAAAGAGAGTTCATGACGAGTCTTCTGACTCGCCTGATTCTGATACTCACTGTGTCGACTCGGTTGAAGCTAAGATTCGGAAAGTTGACACTGTTTCTGATGCTAATGTTAACTCGTCCGAGTCTGAGTCTCAGCTTACACGAGTTGACTCGTTTGAGTCGTGTCTTGACTCGGTTTTTGACTCGGATGTTCAGCTTCATCAGGATGATATTTTTCATATGCTTGATGATGCTGAGAATGTTCCGGAACAGACTGAGCGTGACTCGGTGGTGGGTCTGGACTCGGTTATCAAAAGCTTTGAGGAAGAGATTCTCACTCCGGGTTTTGAACCGGTTCGGACCGAACCGGAACCGGTTCAGGTGACTGGTTTAGGCGAGATGCAGAATGACTTGGGTTACTTATTTGAGGCCTCTGATGATGAACTTGGATTACCTCCTACTGTGGTTTCATCTGATGAACCAGGTCGGACTGAACCGGAAAATGTGGACCTGACCGGGTTCCTGGGGTTTGAAGATGACTTTACTGGCAATGATGGGTTTGGTTTTGGTGCCAGATTGTTGGCCGAGTGTGATGGTGAAAATACCGGTGCCGAAGATTTTGTGACGGGAGATGGGTTGTTTGATTATGCTGAACCGGCGGCAGATGTTTTGTGGCCGTCGGAGTCGTTACAAGCTATGTAGGAGGATGTGGCGTTTGAGATTTTGGGGTGGAAAATGTAAATCTGAGAAAACGTTGGGTTAAATTTAGGAGGAGGAAAAAAAGGAAGATTAGAAATGTAGGTGATAGATGTGAAAAGTTTTTAGGATTAAGATTTGTTATGGTTCTTTTGTTTAAATTTAATTGAAAAAAAAATGGTCTCAGATTATGCTAATTGTTTTTTGTCTTCATGCTTTCTTTTTCTGATTTAAACGAAGCCTTCTAGAAAAGTTATAAATTAAATTAATTAAAATAGAGAATGAAAGTTAAATAAATTAAACTAATAAATATATTTTAAAATTTTGAAGACAAACTGTTCTCTTTTTTTCTTGACTAAGTTAAATAATATATTTTTAAGAGAGAGAAAAAAACAGATCTGGGAAACATAAACCAAATTAAAAAAAGAAGTTAAAAAATATAATAAAAAGGAAAATTAGTTTGATGAGTATTATGAATTTCACTTTTAAAATAAAGTACTTATATTTTTGAATTTGAGACCCCACTTAGGAAAACATTTAATATTATTCCTTCAATTTTCAAATTTCTTTTAATCTAAATAATTGTTATCCATGTAGATCTAGGCAGATTTTTCGTTATGATATGGTGTATTCTGGTTTCATTAGCAGCATGCCTCATGCTGTTGGTGAGCTTTGTTTATATAATTTTGGTTTTTAAAAAAAACAATTAGATGAGTTTTGTCATTTTTAAATAAATTGAAATTGTGAGTTTACCCATAGATTTATTATTTTTATTTTAAAAACGTTGAATTTGTGTTGTTTTCATAGAGGTATCCTAAGCAATATTAGTTTGAGTTTAATTATTACTTTAGTCCTTGGTTTATGAAATCGAATTTTGATTTATCTTATATATTTTTACACTTAAAATTAATAACATTTTTACTTTTAAATTTATTTAAAATTAATGTTTTATTTTTTGAAATAATAAAAAAATTATATTCTCAAAACAAATGAGGTACAAAATCGACACAAAAATCCAAGCATCCATCTGACCATAAGGACCGAGATACAAAGAGGGCAATAAAATTAAGCTCTCTTGTAAATTATTCTCTCCGTTCTAAATTATAAAAAGTTTTTTTATAAATTATTTTTTCTGTATTAAATTATAAAATAAATAATAAATATAATAATTATTTTGTAAAAAATAAATTTATATGATTTTACAAACACAAGTGATTTATAATCTGAAATTATAAAGTTTTAAATAATAAATTTAATTATTATTTTATAGAAAAGATAATTGAATAATAATTTAATTATTATTTTATAAAAAGTTAAATTATATATAATTTTATAGTAATATTTTTCACAATAATACAAGTGATTTATAATCTGAGTAAGAGAAATACCAAGCCAACTTAGGACTGGGTTCCATGTATTTTTGGTCATCTCACACTCAAAAACAAGATGATCAATCTTAAGCCAACTTTCTAGTAACTCACACTATACACAACTACCTTGGGTCATCGTTTCAAACTTAAGTAATCAATCCTTCATGGATAGCCTATTCTGATAAGCCATCCAAAAAATAAACACCGCTCTTGATCTAGTAAGATTACTGTAGAAAAGATTTTTCCAACTCACTTTTGATTTGACCTCTCTAAACATCTAGTACTTTTTTTGGTCTCATACCTACAAGTAGCCTTAAACGCATTCCAAAACCATAGAATTTTAACAATTTAAGGCCAGTGCATTTTGGAAACTAACGTTGTAAGATGCATTCGTCATGAATTGTTAAAGCTATGCTCTTGAATGACATATTATTTTTAACAGCATTGCTAGCTTAACACCAATTTATTACACCGTATGCTAATTACACCGTATGTATCCAAGTGTTTTAGTATTGCACAGTTATCAAAGTAAAACAAAAATTATTAAAATAATAATAAGTATGTATTTAATATATAATATACGGTGTGGATGTAAAATGTAGTGTCATGGAAGCATTTCTCTATTTTTAAATTATAAATGTTTTATATATTTTTTAACACTTAAAATTAATAATGTTTTTATTTTTTATTTTATTTAAATTAATGATGTTTTTATTTTTAATTTTGTTTAAAATTAATGACACTTTTATTTTAAATTATATATATATATATATATATATATATATATATATATATATATATATATATATATATATATATATATATATATATATATATATATATATATATATATATATATATATATATATATATATATATATATATATATATATATATATATATATATATATATATATATATATATATATATATATATATATATATATATATATATATATATATATATATATATATATATATATATATAACGGTTTTATTTTTGAGTGTATTTAAAATTAATGACATTTTTATTTTTAAATTATAATTTTTTTAGAAAATATGACAAAATATTGTATATAAATATATTATAAAATTTTATATAGATAAAAAATTTAAAATAGGATATCTTGGATTTAAAAATGCATAATTGTTTCTAATATAACTAGAAAAATATAAGAGAGAATATTCAAATTAAAAAATACACACTTAATCTTAATCATAAAATTAGTTTTCTTTACGATTCTTCCTGCAAGCATAATCTTATGCAATTAAATTTTAGAAAAGTGCAAACATCGTTGAGAAAACTCTCAAAAATATTTTTATTATCATTAAATTTTCTTAAATTAGCACATACTATTAATTTATTTTATTAGTTTTTGATTTGTTTTATCAAATTTTATTTCAAGTAGTTTTAGAGTTTATAATTTTTTATTTTTCATTTTTCTTCATTTTTATTTTTATTATTTTAACTAGTTTTTTACCCTTTAAAATTTATTAAATTCAAAATATATTAAATATATTTAAAATAATATAACTAGTGAAATTTTTTATTTAAAAAATCATGAATATTTTAATGCAACATATCATCATTGCTCTCTATCACTATTCTTATCCACTTCTACTTTGTTATTTGCCGTCTGATGACTAAATTTACATTTATATATTAAATATATTTTAATTTTAAATATACATTTAAAATGTTTTACATGTAATTATTTTTATGTTTATTTTTTTATTAAAATATAAAAGTATAAACATTACTCCTTTCAACTCTATTTATAAAAAAAATTTACTTTTTAAATACAATTAATAACTAATGTATCTGAATAATAGACCAAATATTATTATTTATCTAAAAAAATTTTAAGTAATTTTTTTAATAAATAAGATCAAAGAAAAAATTTGAAATCTTTTTATATTATTTAATTTATTCAAGAGGATGAATCGTCAATTCTAAATTATCAATCATTAGCAATTAACTTTTTTATTTTTATTATTAGATTAAACTAAATTAATTAATAATATTTAAAAATAATTAAATATCATTAAATAATAAATTAATACTTATTAATAATAAATAAATAAATAAAAAATATGGATTATACTAACCGATGTTTAGGTCATTGATTAAGAATTTTAAATAAAAAAAATTCTATGTTTAGTTTATTATGTATAGTTCATTAAATTAACACGAGACTCTTAAAAAATACTAATTATTTATGTTTCAGGGCATTGATAACATATACTTTTTAAAAAATATTTAATTTTAGTATCTTAAAATATGTTCAATTTATTTTTTAAATCTCTTAACTAATGTCTAAAGCACTCCTAGCATTTTTCATAAAATATTATATTTGGTTGGTGTAGTTTAAATCGTTTTGAAAAATAAATCTGAAATCTAATCCAAACTTAGTAGTAGTTATAAAACAACATTCAAACACATTTAACAATATTTAGTTATTTGCAGTTTCTATAAAACGACATCAAAACACATTAAAAAAATATTAAATTTTGGTGACGTGGCGTGGCAGTAAGGTCATTGATACAAATTCGAGTCAACATATATAAGATGAGTTTGGATTGACGGTGAACATAATTAATTATAATATAATTAAATTTGATAGAATTGATTTTAATAAAATTGAGTTTAGTAGAATTGCTTTTTGTTTGGATACATCTATGTAAAAGTGAGTTAAACAATAAATTTCTGTGTAAAAATTATCCAAAATTAATTATTAGTTAGAAGTTATAAATTTTAGCTTCAAATAAAATCAATTATGTAGGTTGAATCAATTCTACTTTTGATAAAACAGACAATTCAAAATCACCCATAATCAATTTTACAACTTTAAAATAGACTATAGATCTTCAAAATCACCCATATTTAATAAATGAAAATAATATTTATTATAATAAATTAAAAAAAAGAATATAATTACCAAACAAAATTTTTTAATAAAAAAAAATAAAAAGCTAAAAACTAAAAGTTATAAGCTTATTTTTTTACGATACCGATCAGAGCTTAACACTAGTTAAGTTTTTATCGTTAGGTTAGTAGCTATGGAGTTTGTCGTTTTGCTAGACACCACACCACACCACCCCACCAACCAGTTCTGTAATTGTACGCACTAGGCAGAGAGTAACGGAGAATCCCAAGATAAAGCATCCACCTCGTTATCAATGCGGTGGTTCCTCATAGTATTGTCCTATATAACACATGCCTTTCATGCAAACTCACTAGTAATCTTGTCAACATACGTGTATTTCAAATTTTTCATTTCTCATTTTTCTCTTTTCTTCTAGTATGTTGTATTTTTATTTCTATACATAAAAATCACTCTACTCTTTTTACCCAACTACCACCTCCTTTTCATCTATATTCCTATTATACCCTCCTTTCCAATTTAATTCTTAAATTACTACAATTTTAAATAAACATTAATAATTTAAAAATTGGCCAACACTCTTACTTTTATTTTTTAATTGTATTAAATTTTTCTGCAGAATTTCTTATGAGTTTTGACATTATCAAATACAATTTGTTATTTAAAGTGGAAAATGTTGAGAAAAATTCTACAAGTAATTTAAATATAATTAAAAAAAAAGTAGAATAAAAGGGTCTGATAAATGACGGAC